GTTCTCAAGTTTCTGCCCTGGGTGACCCAGTGGATGTTAACACCATTTACTAAGCTAGGCAGCCAGAAGGAGAAGCAGTGGGAGAAGTTTCTTCTTAAAATATAAATAGTTAAGTCATATAGCAAGTCACTGAAAAGTGTTAAGTAAATTGCAGTAATTTACTAGCATGAAAAAATTACAAAGGAGGCATACAAATGGTTGGAGTTTTGGAGAATACCGATCAAAGGGATCGCCAAACTGAGAACGACATTTCTTCCTGAAGCTCTGAACAGAGTTAGTCTCAGAGCAATTTGTTAGGAAACCTGCCCTAATCTGCCACTCAGACCAACTGCAAATGGGAAGTCAAAATGGCCAATTAATTCTGGGTTTTATTTCTCTGCATTTGCTTCCCTTCAAGTCACCTATGTGTCTACTCCCAACAGCCAACGATCTTCAGGATGCCCTGGATCACATTTGAGCATGGTCATTTAGAGTCCAGATAATGATGTACGACGCTAAGGCTTAACGAACTGAGTCAGAACAACACATCTCCTGAACACGAAAATGTTCTCTCTCATTTATAGGCCACGTGACCCACAATCCTTACTAACCTCTGTCCACACTTGCCAACACCTCAGCTTTTTCCCCTCTCCCCCAACATGTCAACAACCAGGTAATTATTTAATAAAACTCAGAACATACCTTTTCTTCTTCTCTTGGCCAGAGAAACCCGGGATTTTCCCAGTTTCAACTTCAAGGTGGCTCTTAAGGGTTCCAAGTGCAGTCAAGCGGAAGAGTAAATTCACCCTCGAGAACCTTTTGAGGGAACTTTCAAACAAAACTGTGACTTTTCAAGTATTAAGAGGAAATGACAGACTGAACTAAGCTCAGGATTCATTTTAGTACACGTGTTAAAGGTTATGTTAGCAGCTGTCAAATTGCTGGCCAGCTCTAAATACATCACTCTTCACCTTAAATCAGATGTCTTGGGTGGTACCAGGAACCTGCTCCTCTGGGCCGACCCTGAGCAAAAGGATCACTCACGAAGGTGAAGTCTGTCTTCCAGGCATTCTTATCACTGGTGCCAATATCATTCTGATGGGCAAGAGACCTGGAACCCAGGACCCCAAGTCCTGAGACCGTTATGGTTTCCTGCTGCTGTTAGAGACCCAGAGAACTCTGACGCTGTGGGGGAAGCTATGCATGTGGTGGGGGGTGGGGGAGCTCTGTACTTTCCACCCAGTTTTCCTGTGAACCTAAACCACTTTAAAAAGTAAAACGTGTAAATATTTTAAATGGCATAAAAGGGGGTTGCTTGGGTGGCTCAGCTGGTTAAGCATCTGACTCTTAGTTTCAGCTCAGAACATGATCTCACGGTTCATAGGATCCAGCTCCATGTTGGGTTCCACGCTGATAGCACGGAGCCTGCTTGGGATTCTGTCTCTCTCCCTCTATCTCTCTTTCACTCTCTCTCTCTCTCTGCCCCTTCTCCACCCACACGCTCTCTCTCTCTCTGTCTCTCTCTCTCAAAATAAATAAACATTTAAAAAATAGCATAAAAGGTACATTTAGGAAAAATTAAAACCTATTATTTCTAAATAAGTTTTTTTCAGTTTCTCAAAGCTGGAGTTTCCTCTCTCTCTTTGTGGCTCCTGCATTGCTGTATCCCCCACCCACTTGGGCCATTCCACAATGACCACCAAGCCAAGGGGTCAGGGAGGGCCAAAGGATCTGTGAATTCTCCCTGGTGTTCGGTCATGAGTCTGTCTGCCAGAAAGGGGAAAAGGGATATTGTGATTGATGACTGAGGTCTATAAAAGCAAAGTATTCTCAGAAGAAAGTGTAAGTGAATAGTAGCCCTTCAAAGAGATGCCAGAAAGTGGGTAGAAAAAGCACAAGATTAGAAGAGGCAATGACAAAAGTGCAAGATCACAATGAAAACCCCAAGTGAGATGGATACACTTTTGACCATGAAAACGAGAAGAGGTGGAGCCTTTGGGGAGGAGAGAGAAGAGAGTCCTGCTGTCCACAGAGAGGGGAGCAAACAGCCTTGCCCTCCCTGTCTTAGGTGCTTAAATAAAAAGGGGGAACAAAGAGGGAGAGTGTTTGTAGAAGAACAGTGACACGGTCACCCTGCCTCTGTCCCACACCATCTACCCCAGAATCCACATCTGTGCCTGTCGATGAATGACTGACTCACCCTTGCAAAGGTGAACTTACAATCAGCATCCTCAGTTTAGAAGGAAGGGTAAAATAGTTGGAAAGATTTCCCAACCAAAAAAAAAATGATCAAGTAAAAAGGTTCTAAAGGCAAGATGACTATATTTGCCAAATTACAAACCCAGTTCCCATTTGTCCCAGCATTCCCGCTTATGGGAATTTCTCCCACAGATTTCCTCACACATGCATGAAATGATGTATGTACAAGGTCATGCAGGAGTCTGGGAACCACACGATAGCTCATCAAACAGGGGACTTGTTAAATAAATGATGGCACAGCCACACAATGGAATACAATGCAGGTGTAACACAGAACCAACTAAAAAAATAAGGAAGCTCTCTGTATTGATAAGGAAGCATCTCCAAGACCCATTGCTTAGTCAAAAAAAGGAAGGCTCAAAGCTGCCGGTACAGTATGCTACACTGGGGGCAGAAGTTAAAAGGGAAACATTTTAAAAAGTGTTTCCGCTTGTATTTTCATAAAAAGTGGCTATTTGCAAAAAGAGAGGTGTATGGATAAAGGTGTGTGGATAAAGGAAGAGTACAAAGGCTTTTCACAGAATACCTTTTTATTTTGTTTTGATTTTTGAATCCCCTGAATACTATTACTGATTCAAAAATTTTTAAATAACAAATGGTTCAGGAAGTAAGGGCTGGGAGTGGGAGCAGCTGAATCCCCGCTTATCTAGAAATTATCTTTCCACCCCAGGATGGTAAGGCCTATCAGTCAGGGCTCTTACAGGGCTATGCATCAGAAATCCTTATCAAGTTTATCGAAGTTCAAAAGACTCTGTCAACTCTTGTAACCGAGGAGTTCAGAGGTAGAGCTGGCTTCGGGGACAGTGGGGCACAGAGCACTCCTCACTGCCGGGGGACTAACTGTGGGCTTACTACGTGTCTGATGGCACCCTGGCTCAATTCTCGGAGCAGATGGTTGGTACCTCGTTCAGCATTTTCTGGGCATCGATTTTGGAAGTCACCGCCACCCCCCAGTATGGGTCTGGCATCCTGCTGCCTTTCACTTTAGAAGATGAGTCTCCTGGGGGTGACCAAGGAGAGCCAGAAGCTTCTCCTCCAGGGCTTGAGGCTGTGGTTGCTCTCTTATGCAACAGACAGGACGCAAATGCATGACATTCCGGCCTTGAGAATGCGGGCGTTCAGAGCCAGACCAAGAATATGTGTGTGGGGAGACGGCTGGGCTTACTGACTTGCCGGAATCAGGGAGTGGGAGAGAATGGGATGCCACTTATCTCCCTCCCGCTCCCCCTTCCTCATTCCAGGGCCCAAACACCACACCAGCATGTCTCCAACTGAGCAAAAGAATGAGAACATGGGACAATGCCACATGCAAGGGATGTTAGGAAACCCAAACACGGCACAACACTGATGTACTTAATTTGGTTTGTGAGATGCAATTTCTGTGGAATCCTCCGTTAGTGTTTAAAAAAAAAAGGAAGAAAGAAAAAGACCCACTTGATCAGAAATCAGGAAAACAAGGGTCCCAGACCGGGATCTGTTGCCATCCCACCGTAGAACCTCTTGCATATCACAGAGCTTCTCTTTGCCTTAGTTTCCTCTTCTGAGAAATGTGATAATTGACTGCCTGACCAGACACATGGGGGCGAAATAAAAACACAAAAAGCTTGAAAATATATAACTTTGAAGGTTTTTTTTTTTGTTTTTTTTTTCAACGTTTTTTATTTATTTTTGGGACAGAGAGAGACAGAGCATGAACGGGGGAGGGGCAGAGAGAGAGGGAGACACAGAATGGGAAACAGGCTCCAGGCTCCGAGCCATCAGCCCAGAGCCTGACGCGGGGCTCGAACTCACGGACCGTGAGATCGTGACCTGGCTGAAGTCGGACGCTTAACCGACTGCGCCACCCAGGCGCCCCTATAACTTTGAAGTTAACTGAAGGCCTGTTTGTTACCTAAGTGGCTGATGTTTACTTTTTTTTTTTAACCTGAAAAGGTTGTCAGCGAGTATAATTTGCTTTACTTGGAAACAAGTTGTCGTGTGGTACCACTCAAGACATGTGGTGTGGGGGTTTGGGCGAAAGCTTTAATTCCATGACGGAATCTACTGCTTTGTGTCTGCCCCAGATCCATTTCCCGCTCCTTTCTTCTGAAAAACAACTTTCACCCACCATCAGCCCAGCATCTCAGACACAGTTGACCTGTCCGGAGGTGGACAGGTGACACAAGGCTGACTAATCAGAGCATCATACTTCCCTGAGCTGGGCATGGGCATGTGACCCAAGCCAGCCAGTCAGAGATAATGAGCTTTAACTCCCAGGCTTTTGATGGAACTATTGAGAAGTCTTCTCTTTCTGCTGGACAGGTTGTAGGCCTGGAGCTTCTAGAAGCCATCGCACTTCCACCGGGGGAAAACCTGCCTGAGAATGATGTCAATAGAGAGAAAAAGCAGAGCTGCAAGAGGGAGAGAAGAAATGGAGTTCTGGTGCCACTTTCAGACCAGCCATCCCTAAAGCCAGCTGTACCCGTGGACTTCTCAGTCACTTGAGTCAACAGATGCCCCTTTCTTCCTCAACAAATTTGAGTTGGATTTCTGGCACCATCAACTCTAAGAGTCCAGACTGATATGAACTTCTGATACTAATGTTTGAGTCTCTACAAAGATGACCCACTGTGCCCACATGCAAAGCTGTAAGAATTAAGAAAACATAGAGTTTAAATTCTACCTCTATAAAGTCCAAGTGGAGCTAGAATTGTTCCCTGGATATACACACTTCATGGTAGTACCTAGTCAACGTGTTATAATTGAACAGAAACACAAATTGCTAAAATAAAGAAATATTTCATTTTATTCTACTCTTTTAGCCAAGAGGGCCAAGGAAATGCAAAGTCATGGAAATTAGAAATAATACCATAAATGTGGATGAGACCAGCTTTAGGGGTTTCAGGGAACCAGCAGAATGTGATTGTCTGGAGTAATTTTTGGCGTTCTCAGTTTGGCAAGCCAGGTGTACCGTTCTGTCTATCCCATGTAACAATTTTGGTGGTAACTGTCCAGGTTGAAGAGAGTTGGCATAGGGTCGTGAAGCCCAAACAACTGAAATGTTTACAGTACCCAAAGCAAAACAGTCAACATTACTGAGTGATACAGACCATTTGTTTATCACTTAACTAGTAAACCAGTGTAAATCTCACTATGCAGCACTACAAATACCCCTAGTCATTCCTTCACTTGTTCACTCATTCATTCATGCATTCATGAGTATTTATTGAGCACCTGCTGTGTACCAGGAGGCATCCTGGTAAACGCCTGATTTACAAAGATAAAGATCAAGGCACATACTCTGCCAATCTATCTCACGGAGAGATACGGACATGAAGAATAATAATGCATCATGAGAAGTGCAGATAAGAAAAATCTGTTCAAAGTGAGTCCCAGCTGAGGACTCATTCTCCTACAGGTTTCACGGCACAGGAATGTGACATTTTCCCGCCATCTTCAAGATAATGAATGCTTGCCAGAGCTTCAGTCAGTCTTTCAGTTCCAGTGTTACTATGGGGACCCACAGCATCACGACAAGTTGTAACAGACTCAGACATGGTTATCAGGTTCTCACTGCTGAATACAGGCAACACAGTTTGTTGTTGCTGAGGTGGCCGACTGCTTCATTCACTCGGTAAATCTTTATTGAAGAGCCATGATGTGTTCACCACTCCTGGATTCCCTCCCAGGCTGTCCAAGCTCTGGCCCTGGCAAATGAACTCAAGGTCTGGACCCACTTGGCCAGATGGAGGTTTGTGGTCTGGAGGGTCTTTGAAGGAAGGCCTTCTCTTCAGTTTTCAAACCTAAGCCTTAACATGTCAAGGCCCGCTTCTTGTTCTGGAATGATTTGCTTTTCATTTGTCATTTGTGATCTGGGTGAGACGGTAGAGCGTGTAGGTCGTGTAGGTCTTAACAAAGGACCAGGTTCACATTTCGTGAGGTATGCAAACATCCAGCTACAGGCATAAAAAGAAGGATCAAATAAACTGCACCCTCTACCTTCTCCCCTCTCCTCTCTCAGACCTACATGCTCTTCCACAGGTTTACTGCCATGAAATAAATTCGAGATGTGAGTTTCAGCTTCTGAGTCAGACTATATATCAATTTATGCCAGTTACAACAAAGGTGTCTTTACAAATGGTCTTTTTAATGCTTTTCACAGCTTGGCTTTTGTGGAGGGTTCGTATTAACCAGAGGTCTTCCCACAATCCATCTCTTCCACAAACGGTCCCTGAGATACCTTCCATCCTTGCTCATCCAGCAAGGACAATGATCCAGAATCCAACGAGGCTTTCTTGTCAGGTGCTTGTTTCCGTTTTCTGGTTGTTCTAAGGTTTTTCTAATCTGCCTTGCTGAATTCATCCCACCTGGAATTAGGCCCACTATGGCATGCCAGTCAGCAGCAAGGGTAAACACTGTGGCTCTGTGGGCAGGGAGGCCCGTGGGGGGCGGAATTTAAAACCTGAGGTCTTCTGTGTTCACTTAGAGTTAATGTGCATAGAGATAGTAAGGCCTTTCAGCAGAAGCATTTTGCTTAGTTCACATAAAAATCAGAGTATCCTTGATAGTGTTAATTTGTTAACTAAATCATTGCGATCATTATAAATCAAATTTTGTAAGTGTTCTCGTGATATAAAATTAGACAGTTCATGCTCTAAAAATAAAAATTTTAAATGAATATGCCCTGATTTTACTTCTTAGTGAATTCCTTATTTAGTGTATTCGCACCAATCACACACAAAGAAAACAAAACAGAATCTGTGCAAAAACAAGAGCTGTCCATTTTCTGTAACACCTTATCTTCTCTGTAATGAATTTGTTAATACAAAAAAGTGTCTACTTAGAAAATTATAAAAACATTGCTACGATGTCACAAATGCTCTACACTCACTATGAAAACATACCTTTGGAAATAGTACAACTATTGGGAATTCTTAATGAAATTCAAGTCCCGGATGTACTGCAGATGCGTTCCACACAGGGCAGCATTAAGACCCTCCTCTGTACCACTTCCAGAAATTGCCTGCGACTTTCACTGAGTGACATATAATTCTTCTTTCTTCAAATATCATCATTGATTTCTGTGGATATCCTTAGGGTGACGCTCTATTAAAGACAGAAGAAAAAGGTTTCAAAGGAAGTACATTGGTGCCAGCTATGGACTCCCAAAAGCTTTGCCCCACCCCTTCAGAGATGACCTCACTATGGTTTCTGCAGAGTTCGAGTTGGGTCTTAAAGGGTTTTCTTGGCTTTCTTCTATATCCTTTCAGCTAAGAATTCACTTGTTTCAAAATGTAAGATCTTCCCTGTTGTCAAACCTGATAAGGTCCTACCTTCTCTCTACCTTGGGAACATTTTCCACAACAAATTTTTGTTTATTAAATGGACATATTTCCTATTATTCGGAACTAGTAAATGAGGCCTTCAAAAAGCTAATAACCAAGATATCTGACTATAGGCATCTAGTGGCAGAGGACATATGAGAATTTCATTGTTGGGAGAGCTGTTAAAGATGCTTCCCTTAATATTTACATGTTTTTCAAACACATAAGGGTAAAAAGACAGATAGTGCTTTCTTAATTTTTTTAAATTTTTAAATTTTTATTTTTTTAGTGTAAGAAATGTTCTGTGGATTTCTCCTAATCCTAATTGTCAGCAATTTATAACATTTGAATTGGTAAATACCTACCTGGAAATCGTGGATGAATGTTAGGAAGTAGAAAATAAAACCAAAGGCCACTGTCCATTCACAGATTGCACTCACTACGTGATATATATAATCCTAATAGCAACAATAAAGAAACAGAATTTAGCCTCAATACCTTCACCATACTGTATGTATTGAAATACAATGCTGGTCAGACCAAATGAAAACCTTGTCTGATGAGCACAAATCAACCCCTTGAGAAAAGGCAGTGAAAGGCCAGGGAGATGAACACCTGCCCAATGAGAATGTGAATGCAATTATCCCAAAAGTTCTTGGGGCTCTCGTACGCTCTGGTTTTACGACCTAGTCTGTACACTTCAAAAGGCAGAATAAGGGCCACAAAATGGCTGAGAAACATATTTGGACTCAAGGGAAGAAAGAACTTTCCATTCAAGGCATGACTTGCTCTCCCACTGCTAAGGAATCCCAAAGTTCAAAGGCATGCCTAAAAACATCTATCTAGTCAGCCTTTGGGCCCTTGTTAAAACAGAATGAGCTCTCGCACCTGGAGGAGACTGGCTGTCACCACTTGGTGTTACATTTCCTGTTACTATACAAAATGTCCGTTTAGAACCTAATTCTGCTTAACACTGTAAGGTAAACACAGCCACAAAGCGCAGGCTAATGAGACATCTACACGTTAACTATCTTATTGGGGGCAGGGATGAAAGAATGGAAGGCTTTAATTGGGGGTTTCTCCTATGTGGGCCAGAGAATTAATAAAAATAAATGGAACTGATGATTGCAAAAAGAGAGGGAGGACTGAGAGCCTACTCCTCATCGGCCCAATTCCGTTTTCCTCAAATAGGAAACTGTGACTCCAGTGTTGTTTTGAGAGATTCAGAAAAAAAGCCTGTGTTTGTGTGTTTGTGTATGTGATCTCTCCTGATTTTTAAATGCGGTAAATTACTTTAAAAGCATTTTTAGGGGCACCTGGGTGGCTCAGTCCGTCAAGCGTCTGACTTCGGCTCAGGCCATGATCTCACGATTCGGGAGTTCTAGCTCCATGTCAGGCTCTGTGCTGACAGTGATTCAGAGCCTGCTTGGGATTCTCTCTCTCTTGCTTTCTCTGACCCTCCTCTGTCCCCCACCACCAACTCTCAAAATAAATAAACTGTTTTTTTTTTTTTAATGAGACAATGATATTATAAGGGTGCCTGGGTGGCTCAGTTGGTTAAGCATCCAATTTTAGCTCAGGTCGTAATACTGAAGCTCACAAATTCGAGCCCCACATCAGGCTCTGTGCTGATAGCTCAGAGTCTGGAGCCTGCTTCAGATTCTGTCTCCCTCTCTCTCTGCCCCTCCCCCACTCAGGCTCCATCTGTCTCTCAAAGATAAGTAAGCAGTAAGCATTAAAAAGAAATTTTTAAAAAATAATAAAATAAAATGAGACAATGATATTATAATTCTTACACTCCCTACCAAGTAAGTCAATGCACAGGAATGTGCTATAAAGTTCCCAAGCACTCCACAGAAGTCTGGGGAAGTACCTAACTGATTATTCCATTCAGTGAATTAATGCAAAGGGTTTTGTGTGCATTCCTTGATATTGGGAACAGAAAGCAACACAAGCATAGCATGGTAATTTATGGAGTGAACAAAAATGTGGTACTTTTCATATTTTTAAGATAGAAGACAAAATAAAAAACAATTTTCAACTGCCTGGGGGATATATATACTCTGATGAATCCTTCCCAGCTGCTGGTTTGTTTGATTTGTGGTGAAATGCCTCCCCCCAGTGGCTGAATGGTAAAAATACACCGGAAGCTGCTTGGCTGTGAGGTCTGGCTTTCAGAAGGGACTTTGTTAAAACTTGTGTCTGGATCATTATTTTCCTCCCCATCTTCAGTCTCTCTGTTGTCTCTTGCAGGCTTCCTCACATGCCCCAGTCCTCTGTTGTGGAAAATCCACTGATCCCACTGGCTCTCCAGCCACCATCTTATTTCTCCCTTTCCTCACACCTCCAAACACTAGACTGATGAATGAATGAACCATCCCTCTCACCATTTCTTTAACCTCCTGCAATTGGCTTCTGATACCAACATTTTACTGAAACTGCCTTTTGAAAAACATCAGTAGCTCCCCTAGTCCTTGAAAAACAAACTGCCATTCTCCCACTAACTCTCCTCTCCTGGGCATCATTCGTTCCCTATGTGGCATCTAGATGAGCCACCACTATGAGTAGCCAATGGCATGAGTCCATCTCAACTCCAAACCTTCAATGCCAGGTGTTCTGACATTTGGGCTGGAAATTACCAGTCCTTCTACCCTGTGCCCTGATGGTTCCCAGTTGGCCCCCCCCCCCCCCCGCCCAGTCTAGTCCCTCACAATAACTGGACATTTCTCTTTAATGTTTCACTACAGCCTCAGATTCAGCAATTCTAAAACCAAACCACCCAGTCCCCACCTGCCCCCGGCCATGGAATCATTTATTCCTGTTCAGGACCCTACTTCTCTCTGTTTATGGGGACAGATTCTTTGCTTTCCCCAAGATAATACTTGGAAGTCTTCTTTGATTCATGTCCTTCTATTCTCATTTGTCACTTGCCAGTACCCATTAAATATTTCCCCATATTACTTCCACCTTAGGCTGATTTTTTTATTTCCTTTTTTTTTTTTTTTAGTTTATTTATTTATTTTGAGAGAGAGAGGGAGACAGAGAGAGAGTGTGTGTGTGTATGTGCGCGTGCATGCACATGAGCAGGAGAGGGGCGGAGAGAGAGGAAAAGAGAATCCCAAGCAGACTCCAGACCTGTCAGCATAGAGCCCTACGCGGGGCTTGATCTCACAACGGTCAGCTGAAATCAAGAGTCAGATGCTTAACCAATTGAGTGAGCCACCCAGATGCCCCTTTTTTCATTCCATTTTTAAAAGTTTTAAATTTTCATTTCTGTATGGTTAACATATAGTGTTATATTAATCTCAGGTGTACAATATAATGGCTCAACATTTCCATATATTATTCAGTGCTCATCATGATTAGTGTACTCTTAATCCCCTTCACCTATTTCATCCATTCCTCTACCCACCTCCCCTCTGCTAATCATCTGTTTATCCTCTATAGTTAAAAGTCTGTTTCTTGGCTTGTCTCTCTCTCTCTTTTTCCCTTTGCTCTTTTGTTTTTTAAATGCCACATATGAGGGAAATCATATGGTATTTGTCTTTCTCTGACTTATTTCACTTAGTATATACTCTCTGGCTCCATCCATGTTGTTGTAAATAGCAAGATTTCATTCTTTTCATGGCTGAGTAATATCTCATTGTGTATATATTCCACATCTTCTTTATCCATTTATTTATCAACGGGTATTTGGACCACTTCCATAATTTAGCTATTGTAAATAATGTAGTAAACATAGGGGTGCATCTATCCTTTTGAATTAGAATTTTTGTATTTTTTGGGTAAATACCCAGTAGCATGATTACTGGATCATATGGTGCTTCTATTTTTAACTTTTTGAGGAACCTCCATCCTGCTTTCCACAGTGGCTGCACCAGTTTGCATTCCCACCAACAGTGCATGAGGGTCCCTTTCTTTTCACATCCTCCTTAACATTTGTTTCGTGTGTTTTTTATTTTAGCCATTCTGACAGGTGTCAGAACGAGGTGACATCTCCTTGTGGTTTTGATTTTCATTTCCCTGACAATGAGTGCTGCTGAGTCCCCTAGGCGAATCTTGAGTTGAAAGCTAGAGAACTGCCTTCTTCCTGCCACCTTAACTCCGGGCTCTCTCCTCATCCATTCATCCCAGGGTTGCTTCTGACTAATATCTCCCTGCCAATCTTCTTTCCACGTACTTGCCTATTCAAAAACTTTGCGTTAACTCCCCTCCTGCAAATATAGCCCTGACCACATTTATTTTCCACGCATCCTGAAACAAACTACCCTCCATGCTGGAGCTGATCTCATCCTTTCTGCTTAACATTCTCCGCTTCCTCTGCCCTCCATACACCTTAATTCCTACTGACCCCCCTACCCTACCTCTTTTGATTAGGAAATTCAATTAGGAATTCAAAACTTTGAAAATAATCCCAGGAACCACGTTCAACCATCATACTGAGTTAAATTTTACCTTTTCTTTTGGATTCCATTCCAGCTTGGTTATAGAAATTAGTGAAGCACAGGCGATCACTAAAAAAAGGAGATTGTTAAGGAAAGTCCAGAAAAAAGCCAGGTCTTTGAATGTTAAGACTATTCTGCTAATAATCATCACACAGGGTCAAAATATTAATACCAACATTTCTGTAATCAAACCAGTTATATCAGCTTCTTATAATCTCAACCCTTAAATTAGACTGTGATGGAAATACAGTCATTCCTTAGCAATACCTTTTCAGTTACGTATAGTAAAATTTTAATTTGTGGCTACATTATGCCCTACTCTGCTTTTTAAATTTTGTCAAAATGACTGACACAGCCATCCAGATACGTTCTTTTTGAATACTCTTCCCCTAAAATACTACTTTCCCTAAATAAAAGTATTGAATAAAAATACTCTTTCCCTAAAATACTATTTTCAAGACAACAGCTTTAAGGAAAGATTAACATTTCAAGGTACAAAAGCACCACAAACTACCAAGATTCGTCTACAAAAACAAGGTAAAGATTCAAACTCCTGTCTTTAAAAAACAGACTTTTCCCATCAAGTAATCAGGTATAAGCAGAGCCCTTCCTTCCTGGCCCAAAGGGTGTACAAATCAAAGAGATCATGTCCTACCTCTGACCTTAGGAGATACCCTGAGAGGCCAGTCAAACAGTGCCCAGGACTGAGGCCAGAGCCTCCGTTGACTGTCTGCACAAAGGCGGGGACAGCCATTCTGATGGAGCTTAGAAGGCAAAAGAGAAGGCTAGAGAATGAGATGCTCTTAAAATGCTTTTGCAAACAGACGAATTCAAAGCTTAGAGTCAATGCCAAGTTTAGAACTTCCTCTGAATAAAGAGTCAGCATCTCCTCTCCCTGCCCTCCCCACCCCCCAATATTTTGCAATTCTTAACACTTCTCGGTTTCTCAAAATAAAAGGAGTAGAAAGCATAGAAGATTCTCTGATCATGTCATTACCATATCTGTTTCTAATAGTTTAAAAGTCTCTTAATTCTTTGTTCTTGAGTCCTATCTTCTGTGCATCAGGTACCATGCTGGTGGGGAGGAAGGGGGAGATAGAGAAAACTCTGGAAAAACAGACTTGGTGTCAGCTCTTGGAAACATCGCAGCCTTGTCGGACGAAGCCCAGGGAATGTGCTGCATTAAGACAGAAAAGAACAGGGCACAGTGATGACTCAGAGGGAAAACAATGAGTTCAGAGTGGAATCGGGTGTGAGGGGTCAGGAAAGGCTTCACTGAGTTGAGCCTAATCTGAGTTGAGGCTTGAGGAGCTCTCTAGAGCAGCGTCACCCCAGAAATTAATGCCAGCCACATGCGTAATTTAAAATATTCTACTATAGTAGCCACAGTAAAAAACAAACAAACAAACAAACAAACAAACAACAACAACAAAAAACCTAAAAAGAACCAAATGAGGGGGTGTCTGGCTGGCTCAGTCAGTAGAGCATGTGACTCTTGATCTCGGGGTTGTGAGATCAAGCCCCCTGTTGGGTGTAGAGATTACTTAAAAATAAAATCTTAGGGGCGTCTGGGTGGCTCTGGGCCTCTGGGTGGCTGGAGTCCAACATCCGACTCTTGATTTTGGCTCAGGTCATAATCCCAGGATCATGGGATTGAACCCCACGTTGGATTCCGTGCTGAGTGTGGAACCTGCTTAAGATTCTCCCATTCTCGGATAAAGAAAATGTGGTATATATATATATATACAATGGAGTATTACTCGGCAATCAAAAAGAATGAAATCTTGCCATTTGCAACTATGTGGATGGAACTGGAGGGTATTATGCTAAGTGAAATTAGTCAGTCAGAGAAAGACAAAAATCATATGACTTCACTCATATGAGGACTTTAAGAAACAAAACAGATGAACATAAGGGAAAGGAAACAAAAATAATATAAAAACAGGGAGGGGAACAAAACATAAGAGACTCTTAAATATGGGGAACAAAAAGAGGGTTAGTGGAGGGGTTGTGGGAGGGGAGGATGGGCTAAATGGGTAAGGGGAATTAGGGAATATACTCCTGAAATCATTGCTTCACTATATGCTAAGTAATTTGGATGTAAATTTTAAAAAATAAAAAATGAAGTTAAAAAAAAAAGATTCTCCTATTCTCTCCCCCTGCCCCTCCCCGACTTGAGCATGCACTCTCCCCAAAATAAAAAAATTAAAAAATAAATAAAAATAAATCTTAATACATAAATAAAACCAAATGAAATTAATTTTAATAATATATCTTACCTAACTCAATATATCAAAAATGGTATCATTTCAACATGCAATAATATAAAGAAGTAATGTGACGTATTTTATATTCTCCTTTTCTTTCTTCTTAAATCTTTGAAATCACTGTGGTTTTTACACTTACTGCACATCTCCATGTGGACCAGCCACATTTCAAGTGCTCAGTAGCCTCATGTAGCTAGTGGCTACCATACTGGACAGCTAGGCTCTAGAAAACAAGGTGGAGGAAGATAATCCATCCAGGTAGAAGAGAACGGGTGAAAGCTGAGAACAGAAAGCAGGCAAGTCCAGAAGAAACAATGTAAAATGAGGTCTCAAATTATGGGTCTCAAGAAAAGGAACCTGGGCTTTATGCTGTTAGTGATTTTGTGAAGGTTTTGAAAGCTTTAGAAGCCAGGTGCAAGATGGATAGTCTCCCAGGAAGGGCTTAGAAGCAAGATCCTAGTGACCAGCCTCACTCTCTGTTTCAGTTTCTTCAGTAGTCAAATGATGGTGTTTCACAGAAATACTGTAGTAAGGAGAGACAAGGGCATTTCAAAGATGCTTTGAAATCTTTGTAAAGAAATATAAATACCTTGCTAATGTTTAAGACAAAAGAACTCTTCATATGGATGAATTCATTCAAGTTAATTTAATACAGGGACATGATCTGTTTCTGTGGGAAAGCTGTCCCTTGGCATGGCTCATTGGAGCTGCCTAAAAATGGGAACTATTTGTGTGTGAAACTCTGATGGCTGAAAGCCTTATTCTGCTAAAATTCTCTCTAATTTTACCATCTAGAGATGTGTCTCCAAAGTTGGAAGCAAGGAAGGAACTTTGGTTTTAACACTACAAACACTTCTATATACTTTACAACTAACACAAGCTAAAAGTAGTTATATTTGAAGACAAACATGAGTGTCTTCAATCCATAAATAGAACAAAGAATCAAGAAGGAACCATCTCTGGAACAAGGGTCTGCATTTTGTTTAAATTTCTCAACACTAGGATTTGCTTCCTCTGTACTTAGAAATTTTGTAATCAAAAATTTCCTTCCCTAAGATGAAAAAAACAAAACGAAACCCCAAATCATACTTAGACTGTACATTTTGTATAGCTTCTAGTTTAAAGGAGAATCACAGAGCTTAATATTTAGAAGCACATGGTGCATTTTTACTCAAGCTTGCCCACTTTATACAACTCAATCCAGACTAACAAAGTTTCCGCTAATTAAATGGTTTTCTATTTTTCTACAATCTGACAGGAAGCAACATTTTCTTGATGCCTCTGCAGTTTTCTCTGATAGGACTACAGACGGTATTTTGAAAGATGGGGAATTTTCCACCTCTTAAAGACACAGCTTTTTTTTTTTTCTGTTAAATAGCTCTAGAAAGAAAGAGAGAAAGATCAAGCTCTCATTCCCTCTAAATCAGAATGCATACACATAAAAATTCAGATTTTCTTTTCACATTGTGGAATACGAAAATGGAATGAGATTTCATTTTGAAACTGGCATCAGTGATAACAAGAGAAGGCTAAATGTATTTCGAGTGATTTAGAAATAAATGATAGAGAGCTTTCTAAAACCTCTTAACGTGGATGAGTAAGTCAGACCATCTAATGAATCACCTACGTGCAGGGTGAGGGCAGAGTACAGCCCCTTGGGACTTCACAGGGCTATTACTTTAAGTACAATATCAATATTTGGTGTCTTTGACCAAGCACTACAAAGAAAAATAAATATCTTCACATGGCTTATGAAATTTTCCCTGTTGGGAGGAAAGGAAACAGACTAAAGTGTTTGGACATGTTTCCATTCTCCCTGCACACCATTCCCCACAAAGATTCTTTTGAAATAACAACACAATGTGGAAATATTTTCTTAATGATTTACACTTTTCCGCCAGTTGTTCTTCTGAAGCATGTGGAAACGGGGCTGTTAATTTTTCCTTTTTTTTCATACTTTTTTGGGGGCGAGGGAGAAGGGTTAAGCTTTCGAAGACACTGACAAATGTGCAAAAGGATACTGGGGACCACAGCTGCGCAGGAAACGGCAGAGATGGCCATCCGCATGTGGCACGTGGAGAGGCTGTTCCACTGGGGACACGATTTGTAAGAGATGACGGACTGCAGGAGTGTGTAGACCACACCACAGACAAAAGCCAAAAGGGCACCGCCGTCATGGACCAGGGGGACAGCTAACTCCTGGAGAGAGAGTCACAAACAGGTGTTACTCCACGTGAGTCCGCGTGCAGTAGGCCCACGCACCCACCCACGCTGGTCCACTCAAAGCCAAAGATGCACCCACCACTCCTTGGAAAATGCGACTGCCTGCAGAAGACTACCAAGAGAAAAGCCTTCCAGACCCTGCAGTAAATGCCCTTAGTTGTTCCACAGCAAACGTGGGCATGCTGGACAGGGACAAAGTGATATCTGCCTTCGAGGGGGGAGAGTTGAATATGGTGGGCTCTGGAGTCTGGCAGAACCGGATAAAAAAAATTTCAACTCTGCCACCGGGTTCTGTGACGTTAGTTTATAACCTCAGTCTCTGTATCTGTAAAATAGGCATAATAATTTCTGCCTTGCAGGTTTGCAGTGAAAATTATATGATGAATTTCATTTAACAGCATGCAACTGGTTCCGTGAAGGTACCAAGGGTGGCTTCGGGTTTTCAGGCTCCCTGCTCCCCAATAGTCTCTTTGTCTCTCCCCACATGCACATGCAAATCTAAGTAAAGACACTGCCCTTGCCATGCCAAGGTAGGTTCAAGTCAAGGCCCTACCCCTACATCCTCTAACCAGCCAATTCAACCAGAAGGCACCCTTACATCCAATCTAGGCAAAGAGTCTGGTATTGATCCCGAACATGCTCATGATAGACCATTCAAGGAGCTCACTTTAGGCTCCCTTTAATTGTGCAACGGGCACAATTATGGTATAACTATGATATTGGATTGAACAACAGAGTCTCTGGTTGAACTTGAAGATGTGAGCTTTGCAAAGGGGAAGTGAAAGTATTGTCCAAGAGGGCCTGGTTTGGACCCCAGACTCCTGCTGGCCCCACTGTCCATACCCTGTCCCTCCCAGACTTTTCTTTGACCTGGGTCACCCAGGCTTCCCCAGAACCACGGTGTTCTTCATCTGTTCAAAAAGAAACTGATATCAAATCTTTATTCTCCACATGGGAAAAGAAGATTAAAAAAAGAAAAACCAGGGGTGCCTGGGTGGCTCAGTTAGTTAAGCGTCTGACTTCGGCTCAGGTCATGATCTCGCAGTTTGTGAGTTCAAGCCCCACGTCGGGCTCTGTGCTGACAGCTCAGAGCCTGGAGCCTGCTTCAGATTCTGTGTCTCCCTCTCTTTCTATCCCTCCCCTTGCTCATGCTCTGTCTCAAAAACAAACATTAAAAAAAAATTTTTTTTTTAAGGAAAAAAAAGAAAGAAAAACCACTTTCAAATTTATTTGCCAGGGAAATTTATTTCCTGGTATCAAACCTAGGAATATAGGGGAAAATCCACAACTTGATTTATGTTATAATAAAATATGGCTGCACTGACATTTTGCAACATTTACTCATTTATTAGGTATGGATTTTGTATTCCTAGGATACCTAACATGGCATACAGATTTATGAAAGTTATATATAGAAAATAAAATACATTCTATGCCCTTTAAAAAATTTGTAGACATTTAAGTACTTCAAGAATTTAAAAAAAATCACTCAACTGTACACTTAAAAATGGTTTAGATGGCCAATTATTTTACTACAATGAAAAATAACAATAATTCAAAGAAAATGAAATCACTCTCTTGAATAGATAACTGCATGCTCATGTTCATAGCAGCACTATTTACAATAGGCGAAACATAGAAACAACTTAAGTGTCCCTCAATGGATGAATGGATAATTAAAATGTGATACACACACACCAATTACTATTAAGCCATAAAAAAGAAAGAAGTATTGCCATTTATGACAACATGGATGGATACTGAGGGTATTATGCTAAGTGAAATAAGTCAGACAGAGAAAGACGAATATTGTGTGATCTCACTTATATGTGGAATCTTAAAAAAGTTAAAAACTGAACTCTTTGATACAGAAAACAGATTGATGGTTGCCAGAGGTGGGGGGGGGGGGGGAGGTGGGGAAAAGGGGGTCAAAACATAGAAAATTCCAGATATAAGGCCTGAGGATGTCATGTACAGCATGGTAAGCATAGTTAACAGTGCTGTACTGTATATTCGAAAGTTGCTAAGAGAGTAAATTTTTTTTTTTTTTTTTTTGCTAAGAGAGTAAATCTTAAGAGTTGTCATCACAAGAAAAAAATTGTAACTATGTGAGGCAATGTATGTTGATGAACTTATAGTGATCATTTTGCAATATATACATATACCAAATCACTATGTTATACACCTTAGACTAATACAAGGTTATATGTCAATAATACCTCAGTAAATCTGGGGAAAAAACAATATTAAACCAAAATATAATAATAATAAAAGAATGAAGACAAACAGATCCTCTCCTCCCACCTTGAATGTTAGGCACATTAGGACAAGGGAAAACAAAAGGCAAGATGTCCACTGCTAATGAGTCCTTTTAAGGAATAATCTTCTGAGAATCCTGATGCTTTCCACTGTCTACTTTCTTTTTTGCTAAGTAAATCAACATCCTGAACTTAAATACTCTGTTTCCTCCAATTACACTATCAGGGAATTCGCTTCTTAAACCCTGGCCAATTCAACACATCCTTTAGGATCTTAATCTGCAAACTTCATGGGCCCTCACAAACCCCCACATTAACCCTGACATTACTGGGTCAAAAGGTGCTTGACTCTGCAGGGGTCGTATGTGGGATGTGCTTTTTCCACTGTGGAGTACACACTCTCACATCAAAGGTCTTTTAGAACCGCAATGATTCTCAGATGAGGCATGAATTGTGGTAGGAGGCTAAAATAAAAACCCAGCACCCTTTTTGGACCTCTTTTTTGAAACTCTCTTATTAATTTAAGAAAGTAAAAAATAGAGGTGCGCCTGGGTGGCTCAGTTGGTTAAGTGTCTGACTTCGGCTCAGGTCATCATCTCACAGTTCGTGAGTTCGAGCCCCATGTCAAGCTCTGTGCTGACAGCTCAGAGTCTGGAGCCTGCTTTGGATTCTGTGTCTCCCTCTCTCTCTGCCCCTCCCTTACTCACGCTCTGTCTCTCTCTCAAAAAATGAGTTAACATTTACAATAAATAAATATTTAAAACAATAAAAGATAGTAAAACTAGAGAAAACTAGAAAGTTGAAAGGATTAAACCTTGGAAAACAACTTTTCCAAAAAGGAAATTTCTGGAAGGAAAGTAAAGCATTGAGAGAGATTGGTGAGGACACACCAAAAAGTTGCCATTCTGCCTACCAGCTCAGGACAGAGAGCTCTGGGAACTTCTGGCGAATACAATTTACTCCTACGCAAGCAAATCCCCCAGAGATAGCCAGTGCTCTCCTGCCCGCACACCTCCAATTCCTCTGGAAGGAACAGTTCAGGTTGGCATGCCGAAAATGAATTACAGGATATAAAACACGGAAGTTGTAAAGATATATTTATGGGAACAATGAGAAGGCAAACACTCTGCTCTCAGGAAAGTTTAAGATTCTATTTCTGGTTTTTGTGAAGATGTAATCACTTCATAGAAACCCTAAAGAGAACCACAGGTTCAATTATCTGACATCTAAGTTTTCTTTCTAAAGTCTGCCTTTCTGGTTTAAAGCTTGATGCCTATGGTGCTTATACCATGAGTTATTTGGAGAATAAAGCGATAGGATATCATCTAGTGCCTACTATTCCCCACCGAATAATTCATATCCAACAATCTACTAACGATTATATCATTCCAAATCTTCCCTTCACCCCCCATTTTAATTTTGCTTCCCATCATGCTTTCTGGTGTTAGGGATGTGAATTGTGTACATGCTTGTGTACATGATTTACCCATTCTGGCAATGGAGTTAACTCTTTCCCACAGGCTCTAAGACAGACTGCTTCAATTCAAAGTGCACTTCTGCCTTTCGGTGCTCAGACAATCCTGGGCAAGTATTAACTCCTCTGGGCCTCCATTTCTCCACTGGCAAATGAGGAAAACTACTACCTGTATTCTGAGGTCATTACTAGCATGATAGGAGTACTGGATGTTTTCATAAATTCTATCACATAGGAAATTTTCAATAAATGTCGTCATGAAAAGGGGCACCTGAGTGGCTCAGGTGGTTAAGCGTCTGACTCTTGGTTTCAGCTCAGGTCATGATCTCATGGTTTTGTGAGTTTGGGTCCCATGTGGGGCTATGCCCTGGGGGCATAGAACCTGCTTGGTATTCTCTCTCCCTCTCTCTGCCCTCCCTGCTCACGCTGTCTCTGTCTCTCTCAAAATAAATAAACTTAAAAAATTAAAAAAAAAAATTGTTGTGAAAAACCAAACGCACACAAGCATAAAATATAAAGCAAGAGTCTCCACCATGTGACCAATGTCACCTGCAATCATGTATAGCAGCACTTGTCTTATTTCGCCATAAAGGGACAAGAGGGGTAGCAAAGTAAATGGAGCCAGAAGCAAATGTATTCACACAATTCCTTCAATGAAGCCCTCTACACTTGCTCTGGGGAGGCTACAAACCTGCCTCTCACCTTTCTACCGACCTTTCAGTGTTAATACGGAAACAACAAATATGTCCAAAAATGGATTTATAATGTCCAAAAATGAAAACTCGTCAGCCCTGAGGCTTGGGAGACCATCCCTGCCCCACAGGGTGTCCTGGAGACACTATGCAATATAAGGAAGGGTGTTTGCCACCTCAACCTTCACAACACAGCACCAACTTTCCTGGAGCACTTTATTCTGTCCCCTGATCGACAGATGGCATTCCCCATGTGTAGTGCAAAGAAAGTGATTTATGAGGCCATGTGGTGCAGGTGAGACAGAGGACTCTCTGACAATGGTCTGACTTCATGCAGGAGGGGGCATTAGCAAATGGATGGGAAGCAGATGGTACAGGTGGAGGCCCGAGGTTATTACCCTCGCAGACCCATAGCAGGTGCAACGGCCCTGTACTGCAGCTTCTGGGCACGGACGTGTACTTTAGCAGCTGGCTGGCAGCCAAGGTTGACACCTTTTTGTGAATATCAGCACCACACAAGATCAGCCCACTTCTGGTGGGAAAAAAGTTAAAGGAGTCCTCCTGGGCAGAAGCAAGTCTTCCTGGAGTAACTTCTTTTGTGCCACCACAAAGAAACAACAGGGGCAGGGGGAACAGGACCACCTCGGTGTTAGCCTCTAATGATGGCCAGGGGCTGCCACGTATGGCCTGCTGGTTACTCTGCAACATCTCATGGGACCCTTTACAATAACCCTAGGACACGATACTATTATAACTAGTACGAATTTGAAATACAACACATTTTTTAAAAATATTAAATACTGTCTCCTTGGACAAATAGCTCACATGCCTTCCTGAAAGAGACCTTGGGATGAACAGGTATCTACAAGTTAGAACAAAGCAAGTAGGGTTTTTTTCAAACACTCAACACAGTAGGAATCTATCAAGCAGACTCCACAGAAGTCACCATATAAGTTCATTTGCTCCATGTTTTGGCTCCATAATGAGTGAGCTGAGTAACCCTGAGCATATGATTTCACCTTCATGTACCTATACCCTCACCTGCAAAGGGAAGAGATCAGGAGCTGCTCTGTGAACTGGTAAATACACACACACACACACACACACACACACACACACACACTCATATACACAAATACTTTCACACTCTTTTTTTTTTTTTTTTTTAATTTTTTTTTTCAACGTTTATTTATTTTTGGGACAGAGAGACACAGAGCATGAACGGGGGAGGTGCAGAGAGAGAGGGAGACACAGAATCGGAAACAGGCTCCAGGCTCTGAGCCATCAGCCCAGAGCCCGACGCGGGGCTCGAACTCCCGGACCGCGAGATCGTGACCTGGCTGAAGTCGGACACCCAACCGACTGCGCCACCCAGGCGCCCCACTTTCACACTCTTTATGAAACTATTACAGTGACTGAAGTCACTCTCCCCACCCATCAGATCATGTTAGTAACATGGGGCAATGCAGAGTCCGGAACATCGTGTGAAACACGCTCTCTCATAGGTGTGCAAACGTGAACCCCACCCTCTCCCAAGCACCAGGCAGGACTGACTTTCAAATGATAAAGATGTGTTTCTAAGAAGCAAACTATCCCCCCTTTTACAAACTCATCAACTATTTGAGAACTCTCCTGGCACAAGCATGCCCCTTGTGTTCCTGCTTCTCTACTCCAGACACACGCATATTCCATCATCCCCAAGAACAGAAAAAAAAACTTCAGGACACACCTGGAAATTGGCTACAATGCCCATTCCAATACATCCCACCAATCCAAGAACTAGCGACACCAGGTTAAAAACAGGCGTGCTGAAATAGCTGGTTTGATTTTGCTTCTCTACTATTTTGTATCTTGTGTACATTGTGGCTGCACCTGAAAAAGAAGGGCACTTTGGTGAATTTTTATTATTTGACCTTTTAGAACGAAAAACACAGGGAAAGTTTTGCCTTGTGTTTTTAAAACCTGTATTTCAGTTTCCCAACTGCCATAGTCTCCCACTCACCCACCCTGTCCTTCCTCACCCCAACTCACTCTCCCCACTGTGTGTATCATCACACACAAACTTGCCTGTTATCTTTTTCAAATAAATGCTACTGTGCACATATTCTGTGACTTACTCTTTTTCACTTGAGATAAGTCACCACGGAGATCTTACCATGTCAGTACAAGTAAGTCTACTTCCACATTTTTAGGGGTCTCATCACGGTATATATTTATTTCATCATTCTCTTAACGTTCGACTTCTACATTGTCTCTCTGTTTCTCCTGTTACAAGGAATGCTCAGTGAACAGCCTGGTACACAAGTATTTGGCATGCTTTCAGTGTTTCTGAAAGATGAATTCCTAGAAACAATATTACCGGAACAAAAACCGTGCACAACTGAAATGCCAAGAAGTATCTGCAAATTGCCCCAAGACTGTATGGCAGCGTTTATACTCTCACAGCAGAGTTTGAAAGCAATTTTACAAGTCCTTTTAATGGCTTTTTAATTGCTACCAACCTAATGAATGAGAATCAGCAACCTGTTGGTTTAAACTGCATCCCTCTGATCATTAGTGAGATTGAGCAACTTTCAGTATGTCTACCAGTCATCTGCATTTCTTTTTCTGAAAATTGCATTTAAACTTCTTTTATTTTTCTCTTGAGTTTGTCTATTCATTTAAAAAAAATTTTTTTAATGTTTTATTTATTTTTGACTGAGAGAGAAAGAGACAGAGCATGAGTGGGAGAGGGGCAGAGAGAGAGGGAGACACAGAATCCGAAGCAGGCTCCAGGCTCTGAGCTGTCAGCATAGAGCCCGATGCGGGGCTCGAACTCTCAGACCACAAGATCAGGACCTGAGCCAAAGTCGGACACTCAACCGATTGAGCCACCCAGGCGCCCCTTCATTTTTAATTTGTAGTTGCTTTTTAAAAAAATGTTTACTGAGACAGAGAGAGAGAGAGAGAGAATCCCAAGCAAGCACCATGCTGTCAGTGCAGATCCTGACGTGGGGCTTGATCCCAGGAACTGTGAGGTCATGACCTGAACCAAAATCAAGAGTCGGACACTCAGCCAACTGAGCCACCCAGGCGCCCCTGCAGTTGCTTTTCAAACATTAGTAGTAGACATTAGTCTACTGTCTGCTATAAATATTACAGGTTTTCTTCTGGTCTGTCTTTAATTTTGTTTTCGGTTTTTGTTTGTTGGTTGGTTGGTTTGTTTGGTATCCTTCATCAGTTAGAAGTTTTAATTTTTTTTAGAAGTTTTAATTTCTTATCTACTAAATCTATCAATTCTTTCCTGTTTAGCTTCTGGGTTTTGTGTAAGCTTAAAGCATTTCCATCCTCAGGTTTTAAAGGATTTTCCTATAACTTAATTATCTTACAGTGTTGCTTTTCATGGCTAGTTCTTTCATTGCCACTGGTTCTTGTGAATGGTGTGAGGATGGTACAAAGGGTATGTTTTTCCAAAGACCTTACCAATTAATCAAATACCACTTATTGTTATGGAGATTAATGTCACAATAACATATAATCTCTGGAGCACCTGAGTGGCTCAGTCAGTTGGGCTTGGGCAGGCGTCTGGCTCTTGGTTTTAGCTCAAGTCATGGTCTCCCAGCTTCATGGGTTCAAGCCCTTGTGGGGCTCTGGGCTGGCAGTGCTGAGCCTGCTTGGGATTCTCTCTCTCTCTCTCTCTCTCTCTGACCACCCCCCTCCCCACACTCGTGCTATCTCTGTCTCTCTCAAAATAAATAAACTTTACTATACATGAGTTCCATAACAGCAGGGTCCTTGTCTTTCTGCTGCTGGGGCCCTAGCACTAAGCATAAGCACAGAGCCTACCACATAGTAGGCACTTATTAAATGAATGTTGAATACATGGACAGCTATCAAAATTTTAGATCCGTAATAACTTTTACTCAACAAATTTACCTTATAGAAGATCTTACATCAATATGCAAAGATGTATTAAAAAGAATATTCACTTGAGCATTGTAAATTGCAAAGTCAGAAATAGCCTAAATGCTTAACAAGAGGGGACGGATTATATAAGCTATAATATACCCATGAGAAGGGTATCATGCATGTGTTAAAAGAACAAAGTAGAGGGGCGCCTGGGTGGCGCAGTCGGTTAAGCGTCCGACTTCAGCCAGGTCACGATCTCGCGGTCCGGGAGTTCGAGCCCCGCGTCAGGCTCTGGGCTGATGGCTCAGAGCCTGGAGCCTGTTTCCGATTCTGTGTCTCCCTCTCTCTCTGCCCCTCCCCCGTTCATGCTCTGTCTCTCTCTGTCCCAAAAATAAATAAACGTTGAAAAAAAAAATTAAAAAAAAAAAGAAGAACAAAGTAGATTTCAACGTACTGACATGGTGTGATGGTCTTTTTTTTTTTTTTTTTTTGCTGAAATTTAAAAAGCAGGCTAAAAGCTCATCATTTATCATAGACTATTGTAAGCGAAGATGTTCATGACAGATTCTGCCTTGTCTAGAAGCAAAAGGCCATATTTATTGCTTGCCAGTGATGAAATAATCTCTCCATCTTCTAAATCTGGACTCTAGGCAAGGATGGCATAAAAGGACACTGAGATTGATTGACTCCTATTTCTACACTCCCCTCACTCACCTCCAAAACCTCGGGATGAGAACACCACAAATCAATGACACATGAAACTTTCTACCAAGTAAGATGAACAAATTCCAAAAATGCCAAGTCACTAGGGTTCCCCCGTGCCTCTGCCCTTTCCCACCCTGCACCAGTAGAGGAGGGTAGAAAGTATTGGTTACGTGATAGGCCCCTGACAAACACCTAATTGTTCCAGAAGGTAAGGGCTTATGAAAGGACTAGGAGAAAGAGCCCCCCATCTTACATCTATACACCCAGATTTCCCCATAGTAGACTAAGTTTTTTAGTCATTATATTGATTGGTTCATGAGAGGCTTGTATCCTATCAACTGTATCTATCTATCAAATGCATTGTATCCTATTCTCAGTTGCATTTGAGGAACTGAAAGGAACAATCAAACCTGAGATGGAGACAAAGTGTTGTCTGTTTCACCTTTTTTCCTTTTCTCTTACGAGTCAGACAACACCTTTGTCAGGGGTTCCCAAGCTATAGTAAATATCCAAGTCCCCTAGAGTGCTTGACCACCATGCTGATTCTTCAGCCCACTCCCACAGGTTCTGACTGAGTAGATCTGCATTTTTCCCTGGGAACATGCATTCTAACTGGCATCCCAGATGATCTTCAGGTAAGTGGCTTTCAGTACCCACTCTGAGAAACATTAACTTGTACACTAGGTGCTTTGGCTTTCACAAATGCGTGGGATACAAATCACAAATTTATAAACAAATTATATTTAAAATTCATTTCAAAATCCTGTGGCACATTACTAGATGAAGTGAAGAATAGTTCTATAAATGAGGCCATAAATAACTTTCCAGTCATTTTAAGTTTCTCAAAGTAGAACAAAATTCTAGTTGCAAAGCTTGTACTTTAAAAAAAATTATACACACCAAGAGAGAACCCTAATGTAAACTATGGACTTTGGGGGATAATGATGTGTCAATGTAGGTTCATCAATTGTAACCAACGTACAACTCTTTTCAGGGATGGTCACAGTGGGGGAGGCCACAGGGTGGGAGGCAAGGCATATATGAGAAATCCCTACCTTTTGCTCAGTTTTGCTGTGAATCTAAAATTGTTCTAAAAAATTAAGTCTGCTAAAAAAATAACAAAAAATTATATACAAACTGTAAATGACACATTTTACTTCACTTGAGACTGTGAATTTTTCATAAGAATTATTGCATACTTACCAAGAAATGCAGAGAAGTTTATCATAAATCCAAAAATACCACTTTCTGGAGGTGTTGTTCCTGTATCACTGACAAAGAGAAATTTCTGAATTATTAAAAAGGAATTCTGTTCAGACCATGTAATTGGCAGGTTTTATAGGGTGTTTCTTCTGGGTGTTCAGCCACTTTGAATTCCAAAGACTTGGTCTAATTTTGCTCTAAAGTATTCTCATTTTGACTCTGAAAAATCTAAAACTCATTTTTCTACCTTGAGAGATTACATTTAATTTTTTCCCATCATGGGGCGCCTGGGTGGCTCAGTTGGTCAAGCGTCCGACTTTGGCTCAGGTCATGATCTCGTGGTTTGTGAGTTCGAGCCCCACATCGGGCTCTGTGCTGACAGCTCCGAGCCTGGAGCCTGCTTTGGATTCTGTGTTTCTTCCTCTCTCTGCCTCTCCCCTGCTCATGCTCTGTCTCTCTCTGTCTCTCAATAATAAATAAAAACGGTAAAAAAATTTTTTTTAAGTAATTTTTTCCGATCATAAAAAACTAGGAAATACTGGGGCACCTGCATGGCTCAGTTGGTTAAGCATCCAGCTTCAGCTCAGGTCATGATCTTGCAGTTCATGAGTTCGAGCCCTGCATTGAGCTATCTCTTATCAGCACAGAGCCAGCTTTGAATCCTCTCTCTGCCCCTATCCCCCTCTCTCTCAAAAATATATAAATATATTTTTTTTTAAAGCTAGAAAATATTTAAAGTCAACGGTAGTGATGTTTCTCAATAAACTTGATGTCTGTTCATTCTCAATAAGAACTGAAGGTGACTATTTTGGGAAAAAGGAATCTAAAATCAAGTTTGAAAAATCTATCTGGATTGTAACTATACATAAACACATCATGTACATTTTTTTAACAATTTGATTTATCCACAAGAGTTTACACTGCTGAAAACAGAATGGTGGAAAGCTGAGCAATATCATTGATACCTATTAGAACCTTATGGAAACAATAGGCATCAAGAATATATTAATTGTGATAAAGTATTTCAATAAAAAATAGTTTTTATAAGACATTTTTCTGGTGCAATCAATTAATCAATTAAATAAGCTGGAAAAAAATAATGATCTGGAAAGTAGCATTTGAACGTGTTCTGTTTTCTATTCATTCATGCCAAAGTTTACATTTTTACATTGTCAAGCTGCTCCCATAAAGCAACAGTTTAAAACTGATGGCAAGAGTTCCCAGCATGAAACAATTCATACCAGTTGTAAGTGTTTCCGTGTTTTAAAACAGCTCTGAAATATAAGTACTGAAAAACTGATCATGTTGAAAGGCACACTTCAAATTATTTGAGAAATCCCACAAGAGGCCCACGTGTGCAGAAGGCAGCAGGAATCTAAGTTTTGTGCACACTAAATATTTGGAGAGTATAAAGAGGCTAATACTCCCCCTTACAAAAAATACTTCTATTCCTAATGATTTCAATCTCAGTGCCACTTGCACCTGTAGGAATCTGGAGGGTTTAGAATCTAACGTTGCCATTTAAATAACCATTTTTCTCCCCAAAGGAATGCTGAGGCAGAGGACACTGCACCATGTGTGGGACGTCCCTCTGAGCACAACAAAGCGGGTAAGAAAAGGGGACCGAACCTGTAATGGCAAGAAGGCAGAGACAGCTTATACCCTCCGGCAGCACTTTTGCCCAAAGATTAAATCTCATGTAGAAATCAAGCCTTCCGTCCTTGGCCTCAGGATCTAAAGAGGCAGCTTCCAGGTGAATTATGCAAGAGTACTTGCGATCACAGACCTGAGAGGTAAGCTGCCGCCTGCCGGGAAGACTGCTTACTTGTGAAGAAAGGCAAGGAAATGGAGGAGTGAGGAAGATATTTATGAGGATAGGTAGCTGGTGGGAAGAAGGAGCCCTAACAGGAGATAAGTTGACCAGACTCTGGAACTATCTGTCCACTGACAGCAAACCAAGACATATGTCAAGGGCCCAGATGTGCAATCCACATAACAGCAGACATGTGATCTGAAAGGTCAGAATTTCAAGGTGGTATTTTATTCTTATTCATTTGTACATTTAAAACCATACAGGCAGAATCAAAAGTGTTTTGTAAATAGCTATTCCATATGTATTTGTTGAATGAATGAATGACTATCAGTACTGGCAATAATAATAA